TTTAATGCAGGTAATGGATTTCATTGCCCACAACAAAGTAAATGTGCTGTGCTATTCTGAAAACAATAACTAGCTATGTCTTGGGTAAGTGTAACTCCTGAACTTGCTTGGAGTTCTGATGCACTTAATCCTAGGAAAACAGAAACTTCCACTGAAATGCAAAGGAAAACCAACACAAGACAGAAGAGGCAGCAAATCATGCTGATGATACCCCATTAAGTAATTCCTTTTTGTGCGTGTCAACAGAAATGTTTTTTTCTGATCTCTCTAGCTGTGGCCTGACAGATGTAACTGGTTTTTAAACCTGTGCATGTACAGCCTGTTATCAGAAGGGGAGCAACGGGAGGGTGCCTGCTCTGTGCTGTGCAAAAAGCGCCCTGAGTTCCCCACACTGACGAATCGTGGCACATAATCCAGACTCACAACCGCATCCATCCCACTTGACTTACACCTTACCTCCAAAGGTGGAAGGTGCAAAAACGTGGCTTCCCCCTGGGCTATCCCTGATGCCACTCAATAGATTGCCTGGGGTGAAACAATAACATAGTTAACACCCTTGCCTGCAGAGGAAATCTATATCATGTCTGGGACACTCTGAGCCCCCAGCTGTCCCTGCCTGAACGGGAAAGCACAACCAGCACCGGTGGTTTTATCACCAGGTAAATGCAAATGGGGGGAAAAAAAAAAAAAAAGGAAAAGCCTGTATTACAATTATAGTAAAGCAGGGGGCTTGCAGAGATTGCAGATCAGTGTGGGAGTGCATTAACATCGCTGGTATTTCTATACTACCCAGATCCTCAATTATTAACAAATTAGGACACGTCTGATGGGGCACTTACATAACACTTCTTTATCAATAAAACTGCCAAGTCCCCTGCAATGAAAAACAGAGCAGATTTCAACAAGTCCTAATGTGACACCTCACTTTGGACAGGGAACAACAATGAATTCTGGTTTCCCCTCCTCAGCCCAGCCCATTCCCAAAGCAGCTGTGGTCAGTCCACAGCACTTCTGGAAGCCTGAGGCCACCCAAGCCTCCTGTAAGCTGGAGCCCTTTAATCAGGTAAGCACAGATCAATGGCTCATTGTAGCAATGGGATGTATAGGGCCATTCCAAATCCTGCATCCCCCTGCACCTTCCCATATCAGGGCCCCACTGGCACTTCACTGGCCCCACACTAACAGCTGCTGGGCACAGGCTCCCTGGGCACAGCCTGTGTCACTGGCTGGGCTGCAACAAGAAAGAAAGCCACAATTCTTTTCCTTGCTCTACCCTTTGAGCACAACAAAAAAGGACTGCTGGGTCTTGGTAGGAGAAAGGCTGCTATCCTCTCCTACCACCCAGCCTAACAAACACCATTCAGTTCACCCAAGTTGCACACCAAAGTCAACAGCTCTGAAAACAGCTCCTGCAACTTTCCAAGCAAATGCTGCACAAAATAAGTATTTTCCCCTTGAAGGCAAGTAATGACTTCGTAATACATTTTATTCCATTTAAAAGTGGGAAATCATTATCAGTGAGGAGGCTTCCCAAGAGGAATAAAGACTCTTCATAGCTCATTTGCATTTGCTAGCTATCCCTCTCTGACTGCATCACGCTCTGGTAGCGCAACTGGTGACTTCAAAAAAGATGGAGTTGTACCCCCAGAGCCATGAGCCCCGCTTATGCTGTCACCCTGAGATACAGTTTCATTCTGAAGAGAGCAAACAGGATGGTCCACAGCAACTGCAGTGAAAAATATACACCAAAAGACAAGGACATAAAGCGAAACCTTTAACTGACAAAGACTCAAGTTTTCTGTGTGAAACACTAGCAGTAATAATAAAGAACACAGGAAGGAGACCTCAATGCAAGCACAAACTGTTTTGGAAAGTTTCCCTTCAGCAGCTGGCAGATCTGAAACGGGTTACAGCAAGTTAAAACTGTGATATTGATCACTGCCTATCTACAGGGTCAGGGTTTGGGTTTTGTTGTTTGGTTGTTCTTTCTTTAATAAACCAGCATTGTTCTTTAGCTATTTTCACTTCAAAACAATACTCCAGAATCTTCCAGTATCCAGTCCAATCTGAAGCACCACTAATGAGGGTATTACTAAATGCCTAAACAGTTTCTTCATGTATTTGATAAGCAGTTGCCTTTTTGAGTGTGCCCCTTTTACACAGGTGCACAAACCAAAACTGACTGTGAGTACACAACAGTATTGTGCACATTTGGCATCTTACACCAATGCTCTAAAGTTCCCATTCAAAATCCCTGGCAAAGAAGTAAGTTTTGCATAATTTTAGCACTCAACATCTGAAAAAATTAGAACAGTCCCAACTGCTCTTTGAGATGTATAAAAGAACAGTTGAAAAACTTACAGTTGACTGGTGCTACCTAGGTTACCCGTCAATGCCATTGAAACTGGTATATTATTAAGAGAGGTGTATGACGGGAATTGGTTTATTGTGCTGATCCATAGTAACCAGCTCCTGTTCGTCCATCATTTATCTCTCTCACCAGCGACATATGGGTTTGTCTATTCACACTCTCAGCATTCTCTCTGCTCCAACAAACAGTCAGCTTTTTCTGCTGGGATAAGGAGATTTTTTAGTTACATCCATTATGTTCGTATCAACATTTATGGCAAGAAGATAATTGCCAAAGAGCTCAGGGGGATAAAAGCTCCTCTTTTATAACACAACCCCCCTTAAAAAAATCAATATTGATATAGAACAATCCAGCGGAAAGCCTTGGTGTGTCTTCTGCTTCCTTCAGTTCAAAATAGTTCTTTTTTAACACAGCAAGTCAAACTGGAACAGCAGGTAGAATAAAGGCTTCAGAGGAGTTACCCTGAGGTAACTCAGTTACCCTGAGTTTCCTAGAGGAAAAATAGCAGTGTGCAAGATTACTTGTTCCTTAAAGAAGTGAGTGGTAAATGTATCAGATAGAAAGAGGGCTCCTTGGAGAGGTGCCAGCACCATTTAAACTGATTTAGCTATCCTTATTTGGAGACCATACCTATCGCTCATGAACTGGAACTTACAGTCACCTTCACCTGAATGCAGAAAACTGCTGATGCTCGGAAGCAGCCAGCACAAGGGAACAATGAAAACCCGGGATCCTGTCTTTTTCCCTATTTAAGGAGCTCAGACAACCTGCTACTACTCCATTCCCCAGTTTGGTCAAGTTCCTTTGTCACAGCTTCTGCAAGATTTACTTCATTTTCCCATGGCTACATACTCATAAAAGTTATTTTAAGGCGACTTTCATCAGAACAGCAAGTAACATAGAACATTTATTGATTAAATGACTGGGAACCAGTGAGCTGCACTCTACTTAACCTACAGGACGACTCAGGGATTTTACTTACTGTAGCCCTTGTGTTACCTTCTGCCTTCCTAACTTTTTCCTCTCTCACGAAGCCAGTTCCTAGGTCGATCCTTGTCCTACACTTGCCTCCAGGCAGTTAGGGACCATTTAAGTCAGCCTGACACCTTGAATCATGAATTCCTGCCAAATCTTCCTGTAGGTTCAGAAAGTACCTAACACAGCAGCTCCCTAATCCCATTTTAGATCTCTGAATGCTGCCACATTGGAACAAGGTCAGTAAAAAAAACCAAAACAAAAATCGCAACAAACAAACAAACAAAACAAACCCCAAACCAAACACGGTATTTATAAAACGCCCCTACCTCTGTAACAGGAAACCACGAAAAAGAGCTTAATAAATGTCTCTTGCAATTACTGTTCCCCCCCAAACCATTTAACTTTAAAACAAACCCCCCAAACCTTAGCCTTAAACAAATCCAAGAGACTTTGCAGGTTCAAACTACTTAGTTACAAGGGACTAAAGGTGAAGCCCTGTCAATATTTGCTTTTCTGATTCCTAAGAATTAGTTGAAAGAATTAAAATCAAAAGATTGAAAACTTTAAGTTAAAAAAATACTAAAATCCTTTGAAAGTAAAAAACTCAATTAAATTTGAGCTGCTCAATTCTAAACATTAAACAGCTTTTCACTCACTCAAGAGAAGCTGCTAACTGCCTGTTACCTGCCTCACAATATACACTATTTGCTTTTTATCCCGGAGCAACAGCCTATTTCCTGGTTGAGTTTAAAAACTCAGTGACGTTCCAATTTCAACCCACACATGTGTGTCACTGTCAACGTCAGTGGCAGGAAAACATTAGAAGTCACCCCTTGCTAATGCTTTCCTAACATGGAATTTCCGTGTATCTCGCTCCTCCAGCCCACCGCCTCCCTGCAGCTCGGAGCATCCTTCCCAAAGTGCCTCCCCCCCTCCTTCCAAACATATGGCAAGGAGCGGGAACTGAAAATGGTCAGTGCCAGAACCATGTCGCTGGGTTTTTAGATGCTAGCGTGTCCCTCCCCTGCTCCTGCCGCCGGTAGCGGGTGGAGAGCGGCCGCAGCCCCCGCCGGTGCGGGGCGGCCCCGGGCACGACAGGCGTCTCCGCCGCCGCCACTCCACTCGCACGGTGAATACGCTCCGGCGAGAACCGGGCTTGGGGTACCTTGGCAAAGCAAGGACACGCTCAACCGCGGGACGCCCACATGAGTGTGTGGGGGGGGATGGCAAACCGCTGCAGGGTCCGGCAGGTTCAAGGCCGCTCCGGCTCCATCTCCTGTCTCCCAGAAACACCATATGGCCCATCCCGCACATCAGCAGGTTTATTTCCCCATCAACTCGGCCCGGAAGGGGAGCTCCGGGACCACCCTCCCTCCCCCCAACCCCCGGGCATTCGTCATTACGCGGGATTACAGAGCCAGGCAGGGAAACACTCGCGTTATATAACCAGGAACAGCTCGCCCCTCCCGGCGCTCACACCCCGACCGACCGACCGACCGACCGACAGCAAGCCCGAGCAGGGGCGGCCGCACGGCGGCAGCGGGGGTGGAAGTGGGGGGGCGGTGCCTCCGCCCCCAGCGCGGAGAAGGGGCCAGACGCAGCTTAATGTCCCCAGTGGCGGGTCGGGGGAGGGACCAAGCGGTTCCCCCCCTCGGGGCCGGAGGCGGTGGCAGGCTCCCGTGCCGAGAGGCTGCTTGCAGGCGGCCGGTCACCGATAGCTCATCTGCTTCCGACGGGACGAGGTGACCACGCGTCCGCGCACGGCACCGGGGACCGCCCGGCCGCGGCTCCGCGGCGCCTCCCGGCCCCGCCGCCTGCACCACGGAAAACAAAAGCGGCCTTTTAATTTATTGTTCCACCGGGGGGGGCGGTGCGGGCGGTGTGAAAGGAAACCAAAGCTCGGGTTCTTCCAAGAACTGGCCGTTCTCCCCGGGATCCCTTCGAGTCACCCTGGAGACAACCCCCTGCCAGCCGAACCCGAACAAAAGCCGCGGTGCCCCTTGGCCGAGCAACAGGCCGGAGCAGGCGGCGGCGTAGGGCTCGCTTCTTGACCGGGGCTCTGGAAGGAGACGCGGGACCGAGCCAGCGAGCGCCTTGTTTACCCGACAATCGCTCTAACCCCCGATCTTAATCACAGGATGAGAAACCAAAACAGTTTAAACCGTGAGTCAGCACGCGTTTTATTTCACACACACGCGCGGTCGCGGGGAGAGCGGCAAAACGCACCGCGTTCGTTCCGTCCCCTCGCTCTGAAGCCGCGCTCGGCCCCGGCACTTGGAAGCTTGCGCCGGGCTCCGCTCTCCTTTCAGGAAAAACCCAAGGCTCCTCCGGGGCTCGGCGGAGCCTTTTGTTCAAAATTCTGCCTCTATAACACGCGCTTCACACTCCCCGAATAAGCCGGCACGCCGCTGCCAGCGCAAATACCGGGAGTTACTAAATAAACCATCACGATACGGACCAACACCAGCCCCTCTGCGTGTGACACCTTCCCGGCGGAGTCCCCTTGCGATGCTAGGTTTGTCCTTCCCTCCCTGTTTGATGGGAATTTAAAGGACCCCCGCGCCGGGCTGAGCCAGCCTACCCGCCCGACAACGCGCGCACACGGACCCATGGGCCGGCAGAGCCCCGGTGCCACCAGCCAAGACCGGCAGCATCCGCCCCGCACGTCGCCACACGAGCAATGACACAGACCCCCCGGAGCGTCCCCGCCGCCGCCGGGGCTCTCCCCCGCCGCAGCCCACACCGCACATCACCCCGCGAACCCCGTCCCCCTCCCGTGCTGCTCCCAGCCCTCCCCAGAAAGGAGGCGGGATCCTCACCCCAAGCTGCTGACCGCGTCCTCCCCCGAGCCCTGTGCAGCCCCTCACCGTCGCGGGCGCTGCCCCGAACCGCGTCTCCAAACTTTACCCGCCCGGCGGAGACCGCCCGGGCGAGCGACTCTTCCGAGGGTGCTCCAGTCCTTTTAAATCAACTCCTACTTTTCCATCCCGTATCAATTGCAAATGCTACTTACTGGAATATGAGGCTCCATACGTGGTGCTTCTACCCGCTGGGAAACCAGCAGCATCTTGGACTGGGGATCAACCGGCTTTTAGATCCACTTTGGCTGTATTAAGCAAAACCCAGCACCGCGAAGGACTCTCCGGCTGTTTTCTCCTTTTAGGTTCCAGACAAGTTCATCCTGGCGTTGCAGTTTGCTAATGATTCACTGTCTGTCTCAATCTGCTCACTACATTTCCATCAACCCACAGCTTCCTCACTTAGAAGGTGGAGTTTGTGGGGTTTAAGTTACTGATAGGCATATCTAAGTGCTGTGTCACTGAAAGAGGAGGAGACACACACTCACACTCACACACACATACACACACACGACCGGCTCCGGGCTTAAAGGGGAAGTAACACGTTCTTCAGAAACTGGAAACCTCACAGACCCAAAGATCTTACTTTTTTTTTCCTTCTGTGCAAGAAGGCTAAAACCACGCAGCCCACGGACAGTATTTAACACGCAAACAGCACCTTGGCTTGTTTAGCGCCTTCTTTGCAGAACTTCATGTTCATTTAGTACAAAAGTAGGGTAGCTCCAAAAAAGACAGGCAATCAATGGATAATATATATCTTTTTATTCCAAGTTGAAGTGTACAAATCACTGAAAAGAGAGCCCGAGGCATGAAAATGTTCGAGTTACTCTTTAAAAGTGTAGTTTCCTGTCTCTTTATGCCATTACAATACAATATTCTTAACACTCATAAAAGGGTTAAGCTCCTCTCACACAGGTGAACCCAGGTTACTGAGAGGGAAACAGCAGGGTTGTTTTATTCTCACCTTTTGGGCTATGTACCTGTATTTTTGAACACAGATACAACTCTGAAGAAGAAGACCTATAAAATCACACACTTCTCATATGACTATAAATGTGCTTGCTGCAAGCTGCAGTCTCTGAATATGAATTTTGACAGACCATCAACCAAAGGCTCAGAACCTGTTCCAACCTCCCCTTAGGTGTGCAGAAAGGATGGGGAAAAGGAAGCTGCACACTGGGTTCACAAATAATTGCTGGTGTAATTTCATTACCTTGCTTAAATCAGTACAGTTGTCACTTCTGTCCCAGTACACTGGAGATGCTAGAAACCCTGTCCTGCTACACTGACTCAATGGATGGGATGTGGAAGCCATAGAAACATTTCTAATAAAGTGTCTAAATTTTTTAAATAATTCCTAAAATAGTAATGTTAGTAAGTTATGTTTTATAAAATTAAGACGTTATTTGAATAAAGCCCAATTACTGCGGCCAAATACATAACAAGTGGAGCCACAATCGGGTCTCACTTTTCCTGAAAGCTCTCCAGACAGCAGTCATCTTCAATTTGCAGTTAACTTACAGACCAAACCCATCTTTGTACTCTGAACTCATAAATATCAGGAATACTAGTTCATTAACAGAGAGACATTGTTTTTCATCTTTGCTGAGGCCTCCAACTTTTCTGTCACTGCTGTAACAACAGGCTGGCTCCCCTGAGCAGCACTGGTGTTACTTCAGTTTGCATCATTTGGAAGAGGTTTTCTTTTCTGTTGATTTTGTCTTGTATAGTGTTTAAAGTTACTCTGATGTATTTTTTCTGTTGAGAAAAAGTAGTACAAAAATACTGAGTTTGTGGGGGTATGAACACCCTTAATTCTGAGGGCAGTGTCTATGGGGAGGTGTATCAGGGGGCTGCCCAGATCAGATCTACAACCCTGCCTGAAATGCCAAGGCTCAAAACAGCATTAGACCATCAACATGGGATCTAAAAGAGCCAACATGTTGAGCAGGAGTCACCTAGAATAAGCAAGCTCAGTAAAGACACACCATAAGTTCCACTTGCAAGGAGGTGCTGCTGTCTGCCCCATACACAAAGCCTTGAACTCTGCCCTGATGTGTGTGTGCAAGAGCTCCCTTATTTCAGCCTGAAATGTTTTGGACTAAAATACACATGTTTGAAACGTGGGGGACACTGGGATTTCCACATTCTGTAGATATACTGGTCCTACCAACACCACCATGATCAGATGATGAATGCATTGTAGGTCCATGTCGGTTGTTCTATGCAGCACCTACAGAGCACACCAGTCATCTGTCCAGAAGTTTTGGACAAACCACGTCTTTCATGACTCTTGCCAGACATCTGAAGTTTCAGACAAATGGCAGCATTTCCCAAGGACTGTCATTTGCTTTGGTCGCTTCATAAAACCAAACCAAATGAATTCTCCAAAAGGAAGCTCTGGGTTGATCAGGTAAAGGTTCAAGGTCTGTGCCTGGATGCTCAACAGTGTCACAACAAGGACAGGTCTGGGTGCACTCAGAAGCCTAATTCCAGGCACTGTAAGCATTTAACAGAAAGTTACACCCTTGCAGACATTACTTGTGTTCAGAGATGGGTGATGGCTAAACAGAGGATTTCAGAGCTGAAATTCTTGTCTTCAGTGATTAAATTATGAGCCCTTTCTTTAAGCATATTTACTACCACTGACCTGGGGGAATCCCTGGCTGCTCTGCAATCAATGACTAAGCTTTCACTAGCTTCTGCAGGGCTGTATTTTATCTTCCTAGGCTAGACTTACCCTAAGCAAATTGCAGATTATTTTTATTATTGTGCTTCTGTCTTATTTTGAAGAGGTGAGCAGTGGGATTCTGCAGGGGAGAGGCAGTTCTAAGGATATCAAGGCTGTTATGGCCACAGGCTGAGGCTTGCTAAAATGTATTGAGGTACCTTGAATGCTTCCCCCAAGGCTGGGCATAAAACCTGGGCCTGACTGCCTGGGATTAATCCTGTTCTTTATCAGTTTTACAGTAGTTTGCCATATTTCACTTAGCATCTCTAGTATCAATAGAAAACATAATTGGCTTTGTTCTCTAACAAAACTAGCATCCTTTCCAAGTGGAGATATCTTATTCAAAAGCCAGTCTGAGAGCTGAGAAGTTGTAACTGGATATAAAAAACAAGCAATTGATGAAAAGACTGCACTGAACTGTTTCTTTTCTCAAAACAAACCCTAAACCAAACAATTAAAACCTAGCTCCTCACCAGTATTCTCCCTCTCCCCTCCCCCCATCACCCAGACTGGACCAGTGCTTGTCCAGCACTCCATAGTTTTGGAAAAAGCAGTATCCTTTTACCAAAGGAGAACCACTAGCTGGAAAGCTGCAATGTGCTAAATAACTGCTAAGTGTTACGTTCACCAAGTGAAAGGATCACAGACTCCAAGACAACCTTGACAAGCTGTGTGAGCAACGGGCACTAGTGAAGATGGCCAATGGCAAGAGAAAAGATTTGCGTCTTTCAGGTTGGTGTGAACTAAACATGCTCAAACCAGGCATCCAGGTAACCTGCATGCTGGGACTCTGCTCTCCCGGGAGAGCTGTGCCTGGCTCCCAGCTGGCCTCTGGCTGTTCCTGACATCAGTAAGGACAGCAGAAGTCCAAGCAGACAAGGGCTGCTCCGCAGCATGGCTTGTGCACTGAAGGGGAGCAGCAATTGAGCAGGGCAAGGACTCACCACGGGTTCACTAAAGGATTCACAAATCTGTCAGTGACCCAGAATCAAACGAATGGAAATCATGTGATGCTTGATACTTGCACGTTTTTGGCCTGAAATCAGGTGAAACCGATAGCTTTGGCTGAAATACACTTGGAGTGTGTGTGCTTACTGGGAGCTGAAATGGAAAGCAAAGCTCCAAGGAGTAAAATCACACAAACTGCAACAAATATACACAAGTCTTCATAAGCTAAAACATGAGTTTGTTCTAATTCTAGCCCTTAGCATGTGAGCATGAGGTGCAAAATTCAAAGGAAATACATACAAACTGGGATGTGGACAGCTCCAGACCACAGTGAAGGTAATTATTAGACCAAACATTAGGATAATAAGGAAGAATATATATAAAAAAAGAAATTATTCCTCTGACAGAAAAAAAAACAGTAAATGTGTTTGCTGTCAAAGAACAGAGACAACTGCGGCATAACCACAAGTCATTATAATATAAATAAGAACGTAAGAATTCCCATCAGGTCAAAGATGCACCTAGCCAGTATTTTCTTGGAGATATCAGTGATACCCATTTTCAGGAAGCATTAAATTACACAGTGGATATCATTCCCATGAATGGACATTTTAGAGTAAATGGGTTCAA